TTTCCAATGACAGAGTTCAACTTTTTTTTCTTTCTTTTTTTTAAATACCTTGATCACAATCTCAATAAGCTAGTCTTGAACATGGATTTTTTGTTCGCAGTGGCTACGCGTCCGGAACCGGTCACCTAGCCTCCAGCTACGCATCCGGACATCCACTCACACAGTGATCGCAGTCATCGCACGTAATGGGGCGCTCTGCAGATTGCCAAAAATATACAATATATGCACTGCTGCTGTCTATCTTTTCATCTGTCCTCTCTCGCTCTATCTCTCTCACACATGCACAGCTCTCTCTCAGACTCTCTCTCGCGCTCCCTCTCACACACCTCTAGCTCTCTCTCTCTCGCTCTCTCGCTCTCTCGCTCACGCATACACACGCACATACACATTCGCCCTCTCTCTCTCTCTCACACACAAACACACACACACTCGGCAATCAGCAGAGTGTCCCGTTGCGCAATCATGCGTGTACGTGTCGCAAGATCACTGTGTGAGATGGATGTCCGAACGCGTAGCCTAGCGGCTCCTCGTCTGGAACAGGTCGCGTAGCCACGGCCTTTTTTGTTTGATGAATTTATTTGTTGAGTGAATTCGAAGTGTGTTTGTTGAATATACTGTAAAGAATCTTATATAACTGTATGTAATCTGAAATGTTTCCAATGACAGAGTTCAACTATTATTTTATTTTTTTGTTTTTTTTGTTAATCAATAATTAACTTTCTGCAATTTATAGGAGTGGCTGACTAGAAGACTGCATTGTCATTTCGCCCTCCATCACTTGTATTTATGTTTTATAGTTTTGTATTTATGTATTTTTGTTTCATGTTATACATTTGAATTTCTGTAAATGTAATTTGTGTAGGCCTAAGTCACGTGTAAATATAGTGTTTTGAATTGAATTGAATTAATGATAGATTGGGACCAAGTGCTAGAAAATGCAGACGCAGATAGACACGCACGTACACACTAAGGAAATGCGCAGAATGTTCCCGACGTATTTGGACTGTCACGGTCAGACATGTTTCAGCATCGGCAAAGACGACTCGCAGCTAGGGCCTGCATACCTCCCAAAGTTATACTCGCTCGGGTTTTTAACACATTCTAACTCTAAAACTGTTACGTCAAACATTCTTAAAATATTTACATAAACAGGTAAGACGGTTGTCATTTTGAATACGAAGTTTTATTTCCTATCGTACTAGTTTATTTCAAAAGTTATATCAGCCGAAAGTTGCTACCACGCCCGCTAGATCGCCCGCGCCATATTGTCTATATTTGACCAGCCAGTGTTGCAATCGAGTCAAGGTAGCAACTTTCGGCTGATATAACTTTTGAAATAAACTACGATAGGAAATAAAACTTCGTATTCAAAATGACGAGTACGACACAGGGGAGAGATTCTACCCGGCAATGGCGGCCAGAATCGTCGCTCAATGACGTCACGTCCGTACGGACTCAAACTCTCAAACTCCTGTTTTAAGGTGCATTGTGACCCTAACCCTAACCCTAACTCTAAAAAATAACCCTAACCCTATTAGAATTTTTTTTTAGAAAACCTTATTAGAAAAATTGACGTCATTTACGGCCGCCATTGCACTGTGGAATCTGTCCCCTGTGCAAAAATCCAAAATGACAACCGTCTTGCCTGTTTATGTAAATATTTTAAGAATGTTTGACTTTAAGTAACAGTTTTAGAGTTAGAATGTGTTAAAAACCCGACCGAGTATAACTTTGGGAGGCATGCATACCCTAGCTGCGCGTGCAAAAACGTCATTACTCATTATTACTATTAGTATTACTATTAGTATTACTATTAGTATTACTATTACTATTAATAGTATTAGTATTAGTTAGTTAGTGAGTGTGACACTGACAGTGACAGTGTCTCACTCTGAGATGAGAGTCAGACTCACTGTTTCACTAAGGTCCCGACATAGTTTACACTATACATACCAAAGTCTTCACTTGATAAAAGGTTATCCGCCAGAAATGTCTTATCGGAATCCGACAAAATATCACATGCCATCTTACATTTAATAATAATAATTTTGTATCGATGACAAAAATGTCATCTACGTAAACACTTTACAAGCCGTCGGTGTTTCCAGAATGTAGACTGGTACCCGTTCGCCACCTTCACTCCGGCAAGTATCCTTCGCTACACTGACACTGTTAGTGTAGCGCTGTGGTTTAGCGTGTGGAACTGTCGACCGGGTACCAGTCTATTTAGAATGATGCTATTTGAGCGCCACCTACAAATTATTATTAAAGTTATTCGATAGATGGCGCTAAGCAATTCTTTTCCGGCAGGTCACCCCCCAGCCGATGCTACCTGAGAGAATACCTCTAGTTTGAGGTTAAATATCGCAGATATGGTAAATATATAATGACATATTTTAACATTTACTGCATTAAGAATATCAGTATATCACAATGGCATGCGTTTCATTAAATGATGATTTTGTATAGTAAAGAAATCTTGGGATTGAAATTGGCTGCTCCTTCGCAGTTCCACATTGCGGATATTTAGCCGTCGACCGTACAGGCGCATAGTGTTATCGGTTTAGCACACATATGTTCATCTTTTGAAACAGGGTTGTTGGGTGGGACATCGCCTTTATAATATACCAGTGGTAGAGTGTAACCTCCATAACATGGTTTACTCCGGTCTAACAGAACAAACGAGGTAAACTCGACCCCTAACCATCTATCCAGGTTTTTTTTTAGTGTGTCACTGTTACATCATCATCAATGACATCATGCACCCAACATCCATGGCCATAACGTAATATCAATAAACTACGCCACTAGTCGACTTCTGACGAACTTTTCTTGCAGAAGTTGCAGGGCATTAATGTGTGAGATAGTGGGGTGTCTTAGTATTACTGTAACCGGTTGTTACGAACTTTACACGCCGTTTCCGGCTCAAGGGTAGAGAGCATGTCCAGTAATAAACATCCTATCCAATCACCGTCCTGGACATCATCTCTATCCTTGAACCCAGTTTCCCACGCCAGTAACCTATTTGCGGTTACAAGTTTGCGCTTATCAAAGATTCACGGGTAGTTTTGTTTCCCAGAGCGCTGGCCAGCAGATGGCTGTGGCCAGCTCCCAGCACGAATCTTCCTCAGGTCTTCCAGAGGGCGTTGCTCGTCTGCACCTACAGATCGCGGGACACTTTCACGGGATGGGACCGACCGGTCTCGGAATGCTGCAATCTCAAGATGGCTGGGTGTTGAAGCCAGTGCAATCGCCACCCCGCGGAACGAGAGAGTTGGACTTTTACGATCAAGTATTTAATAAAGACAACCGAGATTCTGTGATTTTACGACTTCGAAAACTGCTACCGCATTATGCCGGGAAGTGCGAGCTCGAAATCGGTTCGGAGACTATTCCCTATATAAAGATAGAGAACATTACGGCCCAGTTTCGGCAGGCTTGCGTGCTCGACATCAAGATGGGACAGAGGACGTTTGATCCACTCGCGAGCAAGGAGAAAATTGAATACGAGATGAGCAAAAATCGATATGCGCAGAACGTCGGATTCCGCTTTCTCGGCATGCAGTTATACGACGGCGTAACAGGTCGATACGCGTCGTTCGACAAGCAGTGGGGGAAGCAGATACGCGAGAACGATATCCTCCTTGCGCTACGCAGTTTTCTCGGCCGATGCCCGTGCGATCGCGGCAGGCGCGTGGCCGTGAAGCAGTTTCTGAGTCGGCTGGAAGAAGTTCGCTCGTGGTTTCTCGAGCAGCGGCTGTACGCATTTTACGCGAGTTCGCTCCTGCTGGTGTACGAGGGAGGTGCAGCTAGGTCGCGTGATGCGAGAAGCAAAGTGGAAGGCAGCCGCGCTACAGAGGAAGTCGGAAGCCACACGGATCTCCGTCCGACCGACGAGGAACCATGCATCTTCTGCGAAAACCTGTACGAGACTGATACGGGTGCATACTTGCAGGATGGCGTTAACAGGAGACGATGGACCGATGTTCGAATGATAGACTGTGCTCACGTGTTCCCGTCGGAGGAGAGGGACGACAACTATCTGTTTGGGTTGAACAAGCTCATCGATTATTTCGAAAGCGTTTAGACGAGTACATGCGGGGAAAATCTGTGATTCTGTTTGGGAAACTACATGTTATGGTGCATAAAACGTCGTGTTTAATGAAGCAGTGAAATATTTCAATCAGTGTAATTGTATGGTGCATAAGGAGTAGCACTTGACGTAATTGGAGCAGTTAGTATGTAATTAATAATTCTCGGAAAATACGCTTGAAATCCAATATACCTTCACGCAATTAAGACCCTATTGAGCATTTGTACATTATGGTAAACGTTTATCACTTGTTCAATATAGATTGTCTATAGAATTGGTTATTTTTCTTTTATTCTACATGTCGTCTGAATCTGCTAACAGTATATATAGTAACTGCATTTATGTGTTAATAAAAAATATGTTTATATTTAATACTAAAAATTGCTTGAATTTGTTTTTTTATGAGTAAATAAGAAGCTTAAATTATATAGAATCGTTTCTCTATTTTGTTGTACAGTTAAAAAACTGTTGCATGTCTATCTTGTGAATGATTAAATGCGCTCACACTTGCAATTTGGCACAGTAGCTTTATGTTGTAATTTTAATGTTAGCCACCTAAATAGCGTTTCTATGAGTTTCACCTGATATAGATGCCTAGGAGCTCATTTTTGTAGGAGGCTGCAGCTATTTGACAGCTTTTCTAAAGAGCTATTCATGCTAACCATGCATAGGGTTGTTATTGTATATATGCTGTGATCGTTCAACAAGTTTTCTTTTGTTCGTAGGTGTTTGTTAAAGTAGTGAAGAACAAGGCTTACTTCAAGCGTTTTCAAGTGAAGTTTAAGAGGAGAAGAGGTGAGGTGTCCACTGTAATGGCAATCATTCAGGCAATATAAAAATCTGCCATGCCACTGTACATATTTATGTACACGCGTTTATAAATGTGTATGTTTTTTGTAGAGGGCAAAACAGACTACTATGCCCGGAAGCGCCTTGTTTTCCAGGATAAGAACAAATACAACACACCTAAATATCGCATGATTGTGAGAATCACAAACAGAGATATAATTTGCCAGGTAAGTGGGATTGTTATATGTATCTTATCTTTGTATATAAACATGTATATCTTCAGTTCTAGTCATATATGACATCTGTTGCACTATCCTTTAGGAAAAATTGTATATAAGCGTGCATAGTGTATCAGATTTTTGCACAAATGATACAAATTGTGTTTGTGCATCTCAGTGGTATCGGTAAGCGGGTCACACTACTGTCGTTTGTCTTCGGAACGTCCCAATGCAGAATGACTTGTATTGTTTGCAGATAGCGTACGCCAGGATAGAAGGAGACGTGGTGGTGGCGAGCGCCTACTCACACGAGCTCCCGCATTATGGCGTCAAGGTCGGGTTGACCAACTATGCAGCAGCCTACTGCACGGGACTGTTGCTGGCACGCAGGGTATGCATACCATCACCTCGCAACAGGGTGTTAGCCAGGGAGAAAAATCGGGGAGTATCACCATCTGAGCGAAGTCGAGGAAATGGTCTGACACGGAAATAAAAATATTGCTTTGTTGGAAGAAGGATATGATTTTATTTTCATGCAGGGGTAAAATTGGGCCGCCCTCATGCCATCTCTATCAAATTTCATCCGTCTCATCCATAAATAGGCCGTCCAAAAGACGGGTAGACTGATCTCTGGCTAACACACTGCCTCGCTTGAGTTTAGCCGATCTCTGGAGTATGGCAGATGCATGGTCGGAGTCTGTGGGTTTCCATCTTAAAATTGTCTATAAATATATTGGCGTGAATTTGTTCGGTATCCAGTTAGCAACAGTTGGTCTGCGTTATAAGTAGGTGTGAAGTTTGCCACAAGACAATAAGAGAGTGCATAATAAATTTAACGCGTGCTACGATTTCTGCTACACCCGGTGATCTACACCGTCATTAACATCGTTTGATTAACGCATTAACGAATAGATCCTGAAGAAATACAACCTCGATAGCATATATGAGGGTCAGACGGAGGTGGACGGCGATTCCTACAACGTAGAGGATGTGGCGGGCGAGCACGGTACGTTCAGGTGCTACTTGGACGTTGGACTGGCTCACACAACCACGGGCGCACGCATCTTCGGGTCTATGAAGGGAATGGCTGACGGTGGCGTCGAAATCCCTCACAGGTACGCAGCGACTGGAAGCCGTTTTTATTATTTGTCGAGCTCAAAAAGAGGAAAAACTATCTAGGTTGTCGTTCTTGGTCGTGCTAGATCCGGTCTGGCACGCAAATTTGGACGAAACTCTGAGCCAGGGAACTAGGTCATGGCTGAGCCATCCCTGAAAATGCCACTGCCTGAGCCAAGTTTGTGGCAGATGGAAGGGACTGGTCCAGTCGACGAAGTGTGGAGGCGCCACCATAATGTTTTCTTGTTGACCAAGACTTCATTAGAGTTACGCTGACCGTCTTAAGTACCAGCGGTCACCGTTGTCATTATTATTGTTGTTATTTATTTAATCTTCATTGCATAAAATACAAACACGTGCTGAAAACAGCCTTTTTTATTAGCTCAGCTGACGTAGTCAGATGCAGCTCGTAGAATCGCATGATTGTCTGTGCGTGCGTGCGTGCGTACGTCCATCCGTCCGTCAACAGTTGGGCACAAATCTTAACCGCTCAACGTACGGTCACGATATTTGGGACGTGGGGGGTAATCCGAAAACGAGTTGGGATGTCGAAGCTGAGGGTCAAAGGTCAAGAGGTTTAAAAGAAGGGGTAACATTCCCTCTTTAACCTAAGGTATAGGGAGGAAATGCAGAATTGCGGCACAAATCTAAACGGCTCGACCTAGGCTCGTGATAGTCGGTGTATAGCAT